GGTGGCGGTTTAGGGGTTTAGGGTTTAGGGGTTTAGGGTTTAGGGTTTAAGGGTTTAGGGGTTTAGGGTTTAGGGTTTAGGGGTTTAGGTTTTAGGGGTTTAGGGGTTTACGGGTTTAGGCGTTTAGGGTTTAGGGTTCAAAACTGGCACATTGGCGCTGCACGAATTCTGTTACCTACCGCTCTGTCGAAAAACGTCGCAAGAGTCCCTGAAAACAAGCCTTTCTCCTTCTTGGATGCCTGCTTCACGTAGTTTAGACCAAAACCCTAAACCCTAAAGGAGCAACTCTCACAACCAGAGTTCATGAAACCTGCGTCCGTATCCCTCCACGGCTGCCAGACATTTTTCGTATTGCACATCATAGTAGTTACGGATGGCTTAGATGCCTATATGTCACAGAAGAATCAGGCCTCTTCTTGTTTATCCCTACAGGCGCAACGATCTTGTGACACGTGTCGATCGCTTGAAACAGCACGAAGTCAACATGCAAAACCTTTCTCACCCTAAGGCTCTCAAAAGTCGAGTGGGTAGTAATAACTCTAGGTTCTCGGTCGACAGCCCCCACCCAAGCCCTAAACCCTAAACCCTAAAAAAGCCCTAAGCCTTAAACCGTTGCATACGAAGTCTCGGGGTCAGCCACTCATGCGCTAGACACTCTCGAGCTTGGGTTGGCACCCAGCAGCGCCGCAAAGATGGGCTTGACCTTTATCTAAATTCAGGGTTTAGGGTTTAGGGGCTGGCTACCTCCCTAAACCCTAAACCCTAAACCCTAAACCCTAAACCCTAAACCCTAAACCCTTTTTCTAAGAGGGTTTAGGGTTTAAGGCTGAAGGACTGCAGAGTTTAGGTTTATGGTTGAACCGCAGCGTATCTTCCAAGTACGGACATGGGAGGAATGACGCCGGCCCTAAAGCTCGTGTTCAAGAAGCGAATGTTTTTTTGCAAAGCAATCCTTTCTTACATCTATATACTATACTGTATTCCATACTGTACTATATACTATACTAATATACTAAACTAATATACTATACTAAAACACTATATACCGTACTGTACTCTATACTACAAATGTACGATTACTAATAAATTCCATACTACAAACATGGTACTAGCATGCGGTATATTCGCTAACCCAAGGCTCGAACATTTTTGGGCCCATCTAGGAATTATTCGACATCCTAGGCTAGAGCCCCAGTTTAGGCTTTAGTTTAGGGTTTAGGGTTCAGGGTGGCAAGGTTCAAGGTTGAGCGTTGAGGCTGGCTTCGAGGTCTTGTTGCCTGACATTCTCAGCGGTAAATAGGTCGTTTTGTCTTGAGCTCTGAGAACGGTTGGCATAGGGTTTACGGCTCAGAGTTTTTAGGGTGTCGGGGTTGGAGTTCAGGGTTGGCGGTTGCAGATAGAAGTCCTAAACCCTAAACCCTGAAACCTAAACCCTAAACCCTAAACCCCTAAACCCTAAACCCAAACCCCTAAACCCTAAACCGTGTGATAGAAGTTCTTACGCCGCCAGACCTGCTCTGCACGGGATCTTCAGGAGCCAACTCGAAGACTTAGAGTAAACCCTGTTTAGGATTTAGGGGTTCAGGGTTTAGGGGTTTAATTTAGGGTTTTGGGTTTAGGGTTTATAGTAAGCCCCCCCAAAAATGGAAACCGGACTGAGGACCAATAGTGTTGGGATTCCCTGTACGTTAGGTTTAGGGTTTAGGGTTTAGGGTTTAGGGTTTAGGGTTTAGGGTTTAGGGTTTAGGGTTACTCTTAGGGATTGGGGCTATTGGGTTTCCAACTTTCGGGCTTCTACTATAGAGGAGGAAGTTGTAATATCGGGCCGCAATAGTTGGAAAAGGCATCGCGCCATGTTCAAGTCCTTTGCAGTTATGGAACAGTGGCAGGATGTCAATGGTTTAGGGTTTAGGGCTTAGGGTTTAGGGTTTAGGGCTTAGGGCAGTTATTCAGGACCCCACAGTAAAGTAATGTTCCAAGGTGCACTATAAATGGAGATGCTGTCGGCCAGCGGCAGGGCGATGATGCCCACGAAGTAGCCTTCGTCTACACTTTCCAAATCTACAAAGACTAGTCTATAGGGTTTAGGGTTTAGGGTTTTTAGTACCATAAACCCAAGTACTAGGACTGGAGGTAAGGTGTCGGTTGAGACTCAGTCGACTCGATGGATCTAGGATCCCGTTTAGGACAGACCTCAACCCAAAACTCATAATTAAGCCCGACCCTAAACCCTAAACCCTAAACCCCAAACCAAGAAAGACCAAACCCTCAACTGCACAAGCCTGCGCCCTAGAACTCGAAGATATGGACAATGCAAGAAGCGTGTCACAGCAACTCACCACGTGGCACAGGCATTTGAAAAATGCTCCTATAAGGGCCCAGGCACTGAAAAGGGATGTGCCTAAGCCCACGAGTACCACATTAAAGTCCCAAGACCCCAACTTCCAAACCTTGACCCCGGAACCGGGAAATCCCTATGTCGATTCCTCTTTCAGGTAGGGTGCTTATCAACCAGAGGTCTAGATTCGATTTAGTGCTTGCAGCTTACAGCAAAACTACCATAAATCTTAATCCCTAAACCCTAATCCCTAAACCCTAAACGGTAAATCCCAACAGCAAAACATGGTCTATGGGCCCACGATGGCGCAGCAGCCCAGGATGCCTGAGGCGTGTCTGAAGTCTGCGTCGCTGTTTCTGCTAATTGGGTTAGGGTTTAGGTTTTAGTGTTTAAGGCAGGAACTTGGAACCATCAATATCTTCATGCCCTTAAGATAAAGTATAGGGGATCCCAGCACTAATCATCCTAACTCCATGTTCCAACTTGCAGGGAACCTCTCTAGCTTCGTTGTGGGGGCAGGAAGGTCGCTAGGGCTTGGAGCTAAGAGTGTGTTTAGGTGTTCATGTGTTTTTGTGCCGCTGTTTGTTGGGTTTGTCGTTTAAGGTTGTGTTGGGTTTCTTGGGCAGGGGTTGGTGCAAATTGACTTCATAATCTTAGGGAGTTGGGGGATTGACTTCCGAGTTTTGGGCCGAAGGATTTCTGGGAGTGGTGGTAAGGGTAGGGAATTTCGGAGTGAGGAGACGTAGCCTTGAGTTTTTAGGGTTTAGGGTTTACTGTAGGAGATTCCGTCCAGGAGCTTTTGGGGAGGACCGTAAAGTCTTGTGCTGGTGACTTGCGATGTGGTCCTAATCTCACAGATCTCACGCTTATCACAACACATTGTGAATGAACTTTCAATTCGGAATTTTGTAGGTTTTAGCAGGCGAACAGGGTACCTGGGTTTCTTAATACACATCCCAAAAACAAAAAGCCATTAGTAGCGCAAATGCCAGGGCTTGAACCCTTTGATCGGATAAGGGTTTAGAGTTTTGGGTCACGGTTCGGCCTGGTAGAAAGCATCAGGTATAGGCGGTGTGGGTGCTGAAGGTTCCGTAGGTCTTACGAGAAGACTGATGGAGAGTTGCATGATCAGGTTCAGGATGCGACTGACAACGCCTGTATCCCTAAGCGTTAGCGAGCAAAACAAGAGCATTAGTAGGTTCTTGGGATTTAGGGTTTAGGGTTGTGGGGTTTAGTGTGGGGTTTAGGATTTAGGGCTTAGTAGGGTTAGTGACAGAATAGACGAAGGAATTAATCCTGGCATGCTACAGCATGTACGAGCAGGACTCACTTCTCTTTAAATCCTGGGGGCCGCTGCCAGTGGTCCCCACAAGAAAAACAACTCGAACACCTAACCCTGCAAGACAAGCTTTGAACCAAAGCTGTCTGCGATAAAGGCCTGAAGACACTCATCAAAAATCTGGAGCCCCAAAGGGGGTTTAGCGTTTAGGGGTTTCGGGGTTTAGGGGTTCAGGGGTTTAGGGAGCCCCTAAGGGGGAGGGTTTAGGGCATGTGGTTGGTTGGAGGCTATGATTTCACAGCCCAGACTGACATAGAAGTCTGAAAATTTTAGTAGTGGTAACAGCTACCCCCTTTAGGTCCCTAGTTAGGTCTAAGTGTATACTAGAATATGCCCCCGAAGTCCCATTATCAATTTACAGCCCCTACATGAATGGCCCCTTCATATGATACAAGCTTAAGCTAAACATGCTAAATCTTAACCCTGAACCCTACACTCTAAACCCTAAACCCTGAACCCTAAACCCTGAACCCTGAACCCTGCACCCCAAACCCTGAACCCTAAACCCTAATCTTGTATAAACCCTATACCCTAATATAAGCCCTATATTTAAGCCCTCTGAAATGCAAAGAGCCGAGGCAGACCTCGCAACGCGAGCCAACCACGAAGATGGGCCGGGCCCCAGGGAGACCTGGGTGAGTTGCTTTTGGTTTAGGGTTTAGGGTTTAGGGTTTAGGGTTTAGGGCTTTGGGTTTAGGGTTGTTTAGGGTTTAGGGTTTAGGGTCGAGGATTTAAGGTTCGGGGTTAAGGGTTATGGGTTTAGGGTATCAGGGTTTAGGATTTTAATGCTTGGGGTTTAGGGTTATGGGTTTGTTTAGGATTTTAATGCTTGGGGTTTAGAGTTATGGGTTCAGGGTTTAGGGTTTAGGGTTTAAGGTTTGGGGTTTAGGGTTGTGGGCTAAGGTTCAGGGCTCTCTCTTCCGGAAGCTTAGACAGCTTTAGGACTTTCCTCGTGGCACATTTACAAATGTAGGGCTAAGGATGATCGGTTTGTTGGCGTACATTTGGGATGGTTTGGGGGCGAAAATCGGACTCCCCACCCCGATTTGTGTTGTACGATCCGTACAGGCTCGATACAACCATGGCCCAAATAACTTTTGGTCTCTCCCTAAACCCTAAACCCTGGTACGATCCATACAGGTTCAATACAACAATGGCCCAAACAACTTTTTGTCTCTCCCTAAACCCTAAACCCCTAAACCCTAAACCCTGAAGCCCTAAAACCCTGAAGCCCTAAACCCTAAACTCCTAAACCCTAAAGCCTAGACCCAAAACCTAAAGCCTAAAGCCCTAAACACCGATGTTATTGGTAGAAGACGGGGGACTCGGTCTCTGTAAGCAGGCTATACGTAGGAATGAACCAGGATAGCCCTAATGCAAATAAAACTTACATGATAGGTTTAGGGGTTTAGGGTTTAGGACTTATATGGGAGCTGTGGCTATAATAACCATAACCTATCTACGAGATCACAGAGCTTCTAAACAGCACATCCCCATGTCGCACATGCCTTCCTGGGCGTTGCACTCGCAGCGCGCTAGGAAGAAGGATCCGATGATACCGGTCCTTGGAAAGGCAGAACGTTCAAAGCCCAACCAAGCTTCACCCCGGCCACCGTAGCCAGAAACTACGAGGACAAGGCCCGCTGTATGGTTTAGGGTTTATAGGGATTATAGGGTCTAGGGATTAGGGTTTAGGGCTTGAGGAGTTGGTGAAGGATTGGCTAGTGGTCATGAGTTGAGGCTAACATCGGATTAGCTTTGCTGGGCTGGTTAAGTGACAGCTGATGCTGATGATGTTCCCAAGCCGCTATACTATAATTGTACTAAGGAGCCCTAAGAAAAATACTGGTGCTTATTTAGGCCGCATTTACACACACGATTCTTGCCAACAATGTGGTTTGCAGTAGCTTGCACAGAACCAGCAGCTAATAATTGCGGGTTGGACAGCAAATGCCAAAGTGCCAGGTGATCACGATGGCTGCGAAAAAATCCGAAACCCCTACACCGTGTCTTGGCGAGCATAGTGCCAGCTGACGCTCATGACCCTTCACCGTTGGGTGCTGCCGGGACTTAGTGCTGCAGATGGACAGCTTCTGATGCTCATGCTGCTCACGGGCTCAGGGTGTCTGTTGCGATACTGCGATACTAAGTTACTAAAACAATTGAGGGATTCATGCTGCAATTGCTCCCAATATATATATATATATATATACCGTAATATACCCTACATTTCCGGCACATGTCTTGTGTTCAAGATCAGCACGCCCGAAACGACTCAGTATCATAGCAGACCACCTGCATACAATAACTTCTCGAATCGTTTGAATGCGATGTTGTTCATAGTCTTGCAGCTGCTGTGATTACTGTTGCTTATGTCAATCTTTCATGTGCCTGCCGAAGGCTGAGGTGGCCTTCCTTAGCCCAAAAAAAATAGCACAATAACTCTTCTCAGGTGTAGGGTTTGTTTTTGAGGGTTTTGGGGAAACCCTAAACCCCTAAACCTCTAAACCCTAAAACCTAAAGCGCTAAACCCAAAGTGCGCACAGCCCAGGGTTTCGAGTGCGGCCTTGCATGTGTAACGAGGCTACTTCGGGACCAAGCCTCATCCCCGAAAGCCTCCGGAGCCCGACACCGGCCCGACACCCTGAAGCTCAAACTCCTCTGAGCACTTTGGGTTTAGGGCCTTAGGGTTTTAGGGAAAAGGGTTTTAGGGTTTAGGGTTTAGGGCTTTAAGGGTTTAGGGTTTTAGGGCTACAAGCCCGTAGGTTCCTACTACTATAAATATTATAAGGAACCCTCCAAAATAGTGTAGGTAATATTAAGGCCCCTATGTTACAGTAAAGCCTAAACTCTAAACCTTTCTGAAAGCCAGAAGCACCCCTAAACCCTAAACCCTAAACCCCAGTTGCAAGCTCCGCGTCTGCACGATGGCTCGACCCCAGAGCACGTCCTGTCTCTGAACGCCACAAAGAGGGGGCTTATAGGATTTTTATAAGGGTTACCGGGTTGCCATATAAGTTAAGTTTAGGGTTTAGGGTTTAGGGTTTAGGGTTTAGGGTTTAGGGTTTAGGGTTTAGGGTTTCGGGTTTCGGAATTTAGGGTTTAGGGCTTAGGGGATGTAGGGTTTGAGGGAGCCTTTCGGTCTTCCACGGGGCCTGGCGAACTCAGGGTTTAGGGTTTAGGGTTTAGGGTTTAGGGTTTCAGCAAGCAAATAAACACACGAACAAACATAATTACGAACAAAACCTTTGCTGCCCAGTGCCCTGGCCCTAAAAAGTTTAAACTTTTCTTTTAGTAGGGGTTGAATATACCAAAAAAGTTTAAAGTTTACCTATTGAGCTCCTAAGAAACGAACGAACGAATGAACGAACGTGCCCAAAACCCCAGTCTAATGCACTGAACTCAGAGGCCTACGGCAAGCCCTGACATCCTAGACCATAAACCCTCCAAGAACGAATTTCTTGCAGGTTCTCTGGATTCAGCAAACATGTTTTCAGTAGGGTTACATTCAAGTGCCCCAACTGCGGTTACGGGTCGTATAAACCTACTTCTAACGAAGCAAGACAAAAACGCGGTAGACCTGTGAGCTGCATCAGGGTCCTATGGTTGCCCATATTGGTTCACTTGACAGAGCACTATCAGCCCTTCCACTTTCGTGACCCCTAAACCCTAAACCCTAACCCGAAACCCCAAACCCTAAACCCGAGGCCCAAAACCGTGAAACCCGAGGGCCAAAACCAGAGATCTAAAAGCCCGAATAGAACACAGATTCAACCCGTCTCTTTGGCGGAGGAAGGGAAGGCATCCTACATTAAATGAAAGGAAACTACAGGGTGGGGAGTTTAGGGTTTAGGATTTAGGGTATAGGGTTTAGGGTTTAGGGTATAGGGTTTTGGGTTTCGGAAACTACAGGTGGGGAGTTTAGGGTATATAGACCTTCTGTAAGGCTTTTTTTAAGGTAAAAAGACCTTCTATAAGGCTCCTATAACGGTAACTACCCACCTGAAAATGTCGTAGACTACATCTGCATTAAGGTCTTATGGTTGGCCTCCGGGACCCGTGGAAAAGAGCACTGAGAGGGCCAAGAGAGTCAGGAATCTCATCGCGAGAAACCCACTTCCCAGTCGGGGTCTATCTTGGGGTTGGGGTTGGGGGCTGGAGATGGTTTGGGGCGATGGCCCAGAACCAGTAACCAAAATCCTAAACGCTAAACCCAAGCCCAAGCATGCCAAACCCTTTTGGAGGTTCAATGATTCAATGATTCACATGTTGGAGTTCAGGCAACCCTCTAATCAATCCCTCAACTCACGGTTCAGGGTTTAGGATAGGGCTTAGGTTTAGGATCTAGGGTTTAGGGTTTAGGGTTTAGGATCTAGGGCTTAGAGGACGAAAAGCCCTACACCGAACCCTAAGCCTTAAACCTTAACCCCCAGCCCCGGATGCGCACTAATATAAGGGCCTTAATAATTACAATAGGCTGTTGGGGCCCACTATAGTATAAATATAATAAGGAACCCCCAAAGTAGTATAGGTAATTATTAAGGCCCCTCTCCTAAACCCTAAACCCTGAAGCCTAAACCTTATACCGTAAACCCTAAACCCTAAAAAGGCTCCTATATTACAGCCATGCGCTCAGCAAAAAGGGGCGATGGTCCAGAGTGCTCAGCCCCGTGGCGCAGACCTGTGGCCCGAGGCAAAGAACCCTAGACCCCAAACCCTAAACCCTAATGCTAAACCCTAAACCCTAAACCCTAACCCTAAACCTAAACCCTAAACCTAAACCCTAATGCTAAACCCTAAACCCTAAACCCTAAACCAAAACCCTAAACCCTAAACCCTATAGACCCTAAACCCTAAACCCTAAACCCTGAACCTAAACCCTATAGACCCTAAACCCTAATCCTAAACCCTAAACCCTAAACCCTAAACCCTATAGACCCTAAACCCCAAACAAAGCTTCGGGATTCAGAGGTTCACGCTGGAATACAGGGGCCTTCCAGATTGGCGTTGGGTTTAGGGTTTAGGGTTTAGGGCTTATATGGTTTAGGGTTTAGGGCTTATGTGGCTTAGGGTTTAGGGATATTTGATACCATAATTACCATAAAACATAGCCCGATGAAATACGTAGTATGGTAATCTTTCAGGCTTCTATGGTACTTGTGGGCTCAAGGTTCGTAAGTTTTTGGGGGTTTAGGCTTCAGGGTTCATTGGGCCTGGGGCGTAGGGCTTAGGGCTCCTGAAGTTTATGACTCAAAGGTGTTACGGCTAGGGCTCATGGTCCAACGGTGCTGAGGGCTCACAAGATTATATGGTTTAGGATTTAGGGGTCTAGCAAGCTTAAGTTTACATAGGGTCTATTCTTTAGGATCTATGGGGTTTATATGGCTTATTTAATAACTAAGTAACTAGGGTCTAGGGCCAAGCTTAAGGGTTGCAGTAGTGTAGGGTTTCGGGTTCCGGGCCCAAGTCTTCTGAATCTGCTGAACACTTGAGCATTTGGGTTTAGTACGTAGTGCCACCCAACACGAAGATCGGCGTGACTTAGCCAGAACTGCCAAATTTAAATGCCCAGCAAATCGACCCAAAATAATCGCTAAACCTCGAAACCCTAAACCCAGGGGACTTCTTGCAATTGGGGTTACAGGCCGCAGCGTTCATTTAGCGCTCTTTGTGCAGACTCAGCAGGGTGATTTATAGGGACCAAAGGACCCTTAAAAGCAGGGGCCCTATACCCTTAAACTATGAAATTTGTGGTACATGCGCTAAACCCTAAACCCTAAACCCCAAAGCCTAAACCCTAAACCGGCTACATGCCCCTTCAGCCATTTTGGATCCTTTTAGGGTTCACTTCGTCTTTAAGGTTTGGGGGGGAAGAGCTGGTGGCCTGCCCGAGGCTGGGCAAACCGGTGCCCAAATCCGCGCCGAAAGGAAAGAAGCCGAACATACGGGCCTTAATAATTAGAATAGGGTTTTGCATTGCATACGTCACCATGATCACCGTAATGTAGGGGCCTTAATAATTAGAATAGGGTTTGGGGTATATCATACTATAGTTATATTAAGGAATCCCCAAAACCCTATTCTTATTGTTAAGGCCCCTACATTGGTCATCATCCTTACAACGAGGCGCGGTGGGGGCCGTGGGGGCACTAGAGAACTTTAATCGAAGGGCATAGGTCCAAATTAGGGTTCCGTTTTGGGTCCCCAAAGACATACGGGACCCTCTTAGAAAGGACCATATAAAGAGACCCCTAAACCCTAAACCCTAAGCCCATGGTCAGCGTAGTTCCTTGGGTTGGCGGGGAATGGCCTTGACTAGCATCGCCGCCAAGGCAAAGCTTGCAGCAGCTGCTATGCTCAGCCTGGGATATTCGGGGTTTAGGGGGTTTGGGTTTAGGGGTTTAGGGGTTTGGGGGTTTAAGGGTTTAGGGGTTTAGGATGAAGGCAGCCGAAGGCATTGCGTTTAGTATGTTGTAGGGCTTCGGGGTTTGAGGATTTGAAGGTTAGGGACTAGGGTTCAGGGTTTGGTCTCTAGAGTTTCGGATTCAGGGTTTAAAGTCAGACCCTAAACCCTCAACCCTAAGGCCTGCTTGAAGTCCCGGAAAGCAATCAGCAGGGGAGCCCTCGCACGATGATGTCGGTAAATCAAATGGAACTAGAAATAGACATAGATACAGATATAAATATAGGTATAGATCTACCTTAAGCCGTTGAGTATGGTCGGAGGACGACAGTCCTAATTTTATGATGAGGCTCCCTATGAATAAAGGGTGAGGAATTGGCCAGCTTTGAACCGGTCCATCATGAACCTGATTCAAAGATTCATCAACAAGTTTCAGGGCCCTTATGCGCATTAAGGTTGGGCGGTTGAGCCTCCCTGAGTTAGGGGGCTTCGGCTCTGGCCACAAACCTGGGTTCATGAATCGAGCCATCCGAAATTTAGGATACTTGCAACCCCGATTGCGATGCACTACTCAAACATCAAACCCCACTAACCCCTCTAACACTCTTGTAAATGCTGTATACAGCCCCTATAGTACCCTTCAAAACCCGCTACAAAATCCAAGAACCCGGCGAAAACCTACCTGCATCAACCTTTAAAACCACAACCGATACAACTCCCAAAACCCCGCGAGAAGCCACTTACTAATTCACCCCCCACACCCTCACCAATTCCCAATTAAAGCACTCAACAACTCGTGAGGATGCCCTAAACCCCAAGACCCAAAGCCTTTAGACCTCCTGAAAAGACCTCCTGAACACCCATGGCCAAGCCGCAAAACACCTCGCAGACGCCCGGAGCAGCGCGGGAGTGACTTCCTGGGACTTCCAGGCGTCAAGGGCTCCCTTTTCAACAAAGGTTCCTGTCAACGAAGACTCAGAGTTCGAAAAGTTCTATGCGGATTGAGGGCTTTAACAAAACTTAAGTGTTTAGGACAAGTGTGGGTTCATAGTGAACTTACTTTTCAGCAAGTATTTACCGGGCTGTGCAAGGGCCTTCACAGGTTTCTGGCTTCCTAAACCCTAAACCCTATAGTAAACCCCAAAATGTCGGAAACCGGATAAAGGACAAATAGTGCTGGGATTCAATACACATGACTCTTGAGGATGGAGGCTATTGGGTTTCCAACTTTTGGGCTTCTGCTATAAACCATGAGGGTCTTCACGAGGTTTTACATGGCTCTTCAAGGGGTTTGATCGGGGGTTCGAGCTGGTGTCGAATTCAGGGCTGGCGGTTTGAAGTTCAGGGTTTGCGTTGCAGGATCTTGTCTTTAGGTAATAGGGTTTAGGAGGTTTAGGGCAGGTTTCTTTATTCAAGTGCTCATAAAATATGAGGAACGTATTTGGGGCTTGCAAACGAGACAAGCAGGCACTATTGACAGACTTGAGGCACCTAGATGAATATTATACTCCTCCTTTTGATTCGTAGAGCCCTAAATTTTTGACAAAGCTCTACAGACTTAGAATTCGATCTCTAGGTTCAGGTTTTCCTTGTGTTTCTGGTTTCGGGATTAGCGATTCCAGGAGTTCAGCATGCTTGATGCTTTCTGGCTTTGGGCATCTGGGGTACATCAACCCATGGTGGAGGCTGCTGGTTGCAATGTTCCCCACAGAGCCCCTGATATAGGGGCCTGAATACTTGGAATAGGGTTTTGGGGTATATTCTACTATAACTACAACAAGGAACCCCCAAAATAGTATAATCAATTATTAAGGCCCCTATGCTACGCTCCACAAGTCAGGACATTGACAACACAAGTGAAGCGCCACAGGGCTTGAATCGCAATGACAAACCCTAAACCCTAAACACTGTCACGAGTCACAAGGTGCCGTAGGCATTTGTGATTTCCATCCTCTTGCGTCCGTCTGGCCTCCGCAAAGCGGAGTGCAGCGAAGCCATGCATTGCACTGTCCATACGAAGAAGCCCAAGATTGGCCACCTGGCTCGTGATGTGCCTCATGGCGTCATAACCCTCCTCACCTAAACCCTAGAGCGAATCCCAGAAAGTTGGAACATGGGTTTAGGAGGATTAGTGCTAGGATTCCCTTTGCTTTAACTTAAGGGCATGAGGATAGTGAAGTTCCAACTTTCTGGCTTCTACTACAAACCCTAAACCCTAAACCCCAAATCTAAACCCCAAACCCCATGGTCAACCAACCACTGGCGCAAACCAGCCTGATTGGGAGCCGAGAACTGCCCTCCTTGCGGGATCACGCCTGGAGGTCCCCAGCACATCCGCCGCGAAGTTTTAGGGTTTAGGGGTTTAGGGTTTAGGGTTTAGGGCTTAGGGGTTTAGGGTTTAGGGTTAAGGGCTTAGGGGTTTAGGGCTTAGGGTTTAGAGATTCTGCCCATGGGAAACGTGGATAGCCAGTGGCGACTTGCTGCGTACCGCAACCCTGCAGTCCTAGACTGCAAAATCCTAGAGGCAACAAATAACCCTGACGGTATGGAGCCTCTGACAGCCAGGCTACCTGAAGCCGACTGACCCATGGGATGCAGGTTTCGGGCGTTTTGGTACTCTACGGGCCCTTCATAACTAAATTATAGGGCTGTGGGAAAGACTAGACTAGACAATACATATACTACGGAACCCTCAGGATCAGCATTTCCGATTCGTCCGACCTTAACCCTAGACCCCAAATAGGTAGTTCTCTAAATTAGGGTCCTTTTGGGGCCCCGAATTTAGAAAACTACCCAAATGCCTAAACCCTAAACCCCAAAACCCTGAACTCTAAAATCCTAAACCTTAAACCCTGAAACCCTAAACTAAAAAACCCTAAGCCCGCTTAGGGTTTAAGGCCTTTGTCCGCCCACCATCTCCGTCTGCACGCGCTCATGGCGAGGTGAGGCAGAGGCCATGAATTCGGACTTCTAGGGGTTTAGGGTTTAGGGTTTAGGGTTTAGCCGTTTCGGTTGAGGGTTGCTAGGGTCTATGTGTTCTTGAGCTTTCCTCAAACAGTTGCGACTTCACAGTCTTTGTAGCTTTTTGATTAAGCTTTTGGTGGCACCTGTCACGGCCTTAGAGCAGAAGCCTTGGCAACTCGCCTCGGGTTTGGGGGGGGGGGGAGGGTTCCATACCGTAGTAGTAGTCGTAGTCCCTAAACCCTAAACCCTGAACCCTAAACCTTGGGGGGGGGGGGGACTGCGACCCGTTATAAGAAATACACCATAATTGCCAGAGTTTAGGGTTTAGTGTTTATAGGGAATATACCATAATTCCCATATGGTTTAGGGTCTTGAAGGTAATGCAGGATTTATATCATCAACAGTATGGGCTTCCGGTCCCGAGTTTAGGGCTTAGGGCCAATCCCTTTAAGGATCCCTTTTAAACAACCCTAAACCCTAAAAGCCCTAAGCCCTACAGCTTCATTCAACTTGTGGCTAAAGCTTTGCGCTTATGTTTCCTCAGCGAAGATGAGAACTTGCAAGATCTCCACTCAGCTCGCCACTGAAACTCAGATCAGAAAGCTGTAAACATGCAAACCAAAACAGATTTCTAAACGCTCAGCCCCTCCGAAGCCAGCTGCAAACCCGATCCCTAGTAGATTTTAGGGTTTAGGGCTAGGGTCCTAGACCATACAGAGCGACAGCCTTTCTCGGAAACCCCTGAACCCCAAGCCCTGAACCCTGCAAACCCACACAAATAAAGCCCAAACATTAAAACCCTAACCCTAAACCCTAAACCCTAAACCCTAAACCCTAAACCCTAAACCCTAAACCCTAAACCCTAAACCCTACCCTTTCAACCCTGAATCCTAAGCCCTAATTTCCCCAACAAGCGAAACACCAGGAGCCCCGCCGTGATGTTGCGGCCCATGTCCGTCTCTGCTGTGCCGAAATGCAAGGGCTGAGCCATGTCCTCTCCACGGATCTTGGCTGGGTCTGTAACGGTTAAGGGTTTAGGGTTTAGGGTTTAGGATCTATACACTGTCTAAAACGGCTTATAGGATTCATGACACTTTGCAGTGTAACGGTTAGGGTTTCGGAGTGAAGACATTTCGGTGTATGCCGCAGTCAAAGCCTCTGAGCAGGTTGTCAGCTTTCTTGTCTGCTTTCTGCTGAAATGTCGTGGAGGTGCTCCTGATCAGGTCAAGCAATGCAGTTGGGATCCAATGTCATTTGAACCCTCAGCCTTAACCTGGGCTTTGAAGTAACCAGGGAGAAGAAAGTATAGACTTGTATTTTAAAATGGTTCCTTTAAGGAACAGGTCCCCCAAAAAAAGTATTAAAGTATGGTACTCCAAAGCCCAGTAACTTGTAACTGAAGACCACCGAACCCCGAACCCATGAACCCTGCCAGCCCCTCTGTCCCCCATCAAGTTGATGAGGTATTTGACGCAGTCTGCATCCGTGAGCTTGACGCCGTCGGGCCTCTAACTCTAGTCTAAACCCTAAACCCTAAACCCTAAACCCTACATTGCTGGATGTAGGGGTTCAGGGTAATTAAAGTGTGTGGCCTCCTGCTTAGGTTTCCAGGTTTAGGGGTTACGGATGAGTAATGTAGGGGCCTTTATATTTAGAATATGGTTTTGGGGGGCTCCTTACTATAATCAAGGTATATTATATACCCCAAACACTTCTCTAATTATCAAGGCCCCTATATTAGGCTTCAGGTGTTACAGAATGCTACTGCGCCAATGCTACTGCTTCTGCTGCTACCACGAACACAACTATTACCACGAACATCGCTTCCTCTGTTCTTAGTGCCCTTGGTGGCTTTTACCACTTCTGGAGTGCCTGGTTTGGGCTGGGCTTAAGTCCCAGCACCTTGAGATTCCTTGCTGAGGGCCTTTAGGTATTACAGGGTCGCGCCAAGACATCTGCCAAACACTGTCGATATAGCTGATGGTGACGATATACAAATTTTAAACAGCAGACCACTTCGTGCCACTTCGGAGGGAAAAGAAGCTTTTGTGCTGTCTGTGGAGATAGCCAAGCGGTACAGCTAACCAGGCTCAGCTAGCCCACTAATACAACTCACCTGCACGGTCTAAAGGGTAGAATAGGAAACCCTAAACCCTCAAACCCCCTGAACCCTCTAAACCCTCAACCCTAAACCCTAAACCCTGGACCCTAAACCCTAAACCCTCAACCCCCTGAACCCTCTAAACCCTCTGAAGCCTAAGCCTCGAACCTTAAACCGCACTAGAAGCTGTGGGACGTAGAATCCAAGGGCTTCGCGAGCGCAGGGTTTGGGAGTTTAGGGGTTCGTGGGCTGACGAGCTTTGTGAGTTTAGGATTTAGGGTTTAGGGTTTAGGGGTTTAGGGTTTAGGGGTTTAGGGTTTAGGGTTTAGGGTTTAGGGTTTAGGGTTTAGGATTTGAGGCTTAGGGTTTAGGAATAATGGGGTTTAGGCTGTTAGGTTTGGCTCTTTGTTGGTAGAGGTTGCAGCTTGGAGGCAAAACTTGTTGCTGCTTGTGATGGAGAGCCTGAATGGACAGCCCTAAACCCCAAAACCTTCTACCCCAAATAAAGCTACTATCTTAAACCAACATACTTCGTTCTGCATTGAAAAATTTCAGTTCCTAATGTAGGGGCCGGAATAATACCTATATCTTTCTGGGGGTCCCTTATTACAACTAAAGTAGAGTATACCCGAACACCCTATGCTAATTATGTTAAGGCCCTTACTATAGAACCCTATCAGAGATCCCTATAGAACCCTTATTACAATTATAGCATATAATACCCCGAGTCTAATAAATTAAGGCCCCTACATTCCGTGGAATTAGAAACGCCCAGGACTGCCCCCCAAGCGCCGCACAAAATCCTAGGTGTTGACCCTTCCATCCCCTTTTTTCTAGGATCTGAACCCAAGGCCTAAGACCTTAAAGCAGTGGGAGTTTGTATCCACTGGTACTGTCTGGTATTTAATATCGGGGCCTGAATAATTAGAACAGGGTTTTGGGGATTATTTTGCTAGAATGACAACAACAAGAAGTAGAATAAAAATAATAAACATAAGACTAATAACAACAATAATAAGGAACCACCAAAACAGTAAGTAGAATAAGAATAAGAACAAGAATAAGAATAANNCGAAATAGTATAGGTAGTTCTTAAGGTCCCTATATTCGGCTTCCAAGGCTTTTTGGGCTTTTGGATGCCGGGAGCAGGGCCACTTGAGCTCCACCAGGTCCTTTCCTGTTGAGGCAGCGGTCTCTTAGTTTAGGGTTTAGGGTTTA